AATGGCAAAGCTGCTCAGAAGAAACCTTGCCCTGAAAATCCCTCTTTGCATAGCATAGTGGTTTGAGCATTGGACTACGATTTGATCAACTTGGCCTCCTGACCCTCTAACATCCAGCCCCACCAATTTTGGCATTGTGAAAGTTGTTGGAACCAATGTGGTGTAGTGGTTTGAGCACTAGACTCTGGAGACCAGGGTTCGAATCCTTGCTCAGTCATGAAACCCACTGGGTGACCTTGGGCAAGTCACACTCTCTCAGCCTCAGGGGGGAGACAATGGCAAACCCCCCATGAAGAAATCTTGCCCAGAAAAGCCCATGACTGGTTCACCTGAGGATCGCCATAAGTAAAAAATGACTTGGAGTTACACAATACAAAACCCACACACAATTATTCCTTACTCATCTCATTTTAAGTAACTCTTGGAGGGCACTCCTTATTTGAAGAGTGATCTGCTTGTAACACGTTAACAACACATTGCTTTTTAGTTTCTGTTTTTGCCTTAGGGCCGCCATCCGTCAGTCAAAAATGACTACCACCACCAACACCAACACCCCCCAAATGCAATCACAGCTCCCCCTTTGCTCTTTCCCAATGAATGGAGGCCCAAAGAGGGTGCAGGAGTTTGTTTTTAATCCTGTCAGTTGCAACACAACAATAATTTAAAGTGAGAGCTTGTCTGGCTCAAGGAAAAGCCTCTGGCTATTCGTTGGTGGTGACAGTATGGAGCACCATTTTGAGAAAAAGAGAAAAGCGGGCCTAGTGAAGAAGACGACGACGACGGCGCCATCTTTCAGGCCACACTGCTCTCCTCGTCTTCCTCGATTCGCGCCCTTTTCCCACCACTCTGCCCCTCCTCTCTTTTTTCTGGGGCCCCTGAGGCCTCCACTTCCGGTTCGGGCAACTGGTACTGCTGGTGCTGCAGCTTCAAGGCCTGGCGGAAGAGGCTCCGGTTCTCTCTGCGCAGGCGCCGGTTCTCCAGCCTCAGCCGCGCGTTCTCTTCCCCCAATCGCCGGTTCTGCCTCTCTCGCTCTTCGCTCAGCCTCAGCGCTTCCGCGTGGCTGGCGGCCAAGTCTGCGTATCGCTCCGCCAGCTGCTGAGGCGAACCGTCCGCCCGGCCTCGCCAACCGCCGCCGCAGACGCAGCACTCCCTTTCTGGACCGCGACCCCTCCGCGCGAAGCTGCAGCGAGGGCGGGGGCTAGGGTTGCCGCTGTCGGGGTTACCTGCCTGGGCGGCGCAGAAGCAGAAACAGCCGCCGCCGCCGTCGCCCCGCCACTGCCTGCTAGCGGTGCGCATGCGCCTCATCCCTGAGTGTCCTCACCTCTTGGAGGCTGGCAGGGAAAAAGGGAGAAGCGGGTCCGCCTGGCGCTTACGTCAGGGAGTGGGCGGGGCTTCGGGAGTGCTTCTCTGGAGTGGGGGTGGGGCAGAGGCTGAAGGAAATTGTAGTTTTTGTGAGACATTTAGCGTTCTTTGTCAGAAAGCTCTGGTGCCAACAATAAACTACAATTCCCAGGATCCCATAGCTTTGACACCACTTTAACGGCCGTGGCTCAATGCTTTGGGATCTTGGGAAGTGTAGCTTGTTGTGAGACCAGAGCTCTCTGACAGGAAAGGCTAAATGTCTCACAAAACTACAATTCCCAGGATTCCATAGCATTGAGTCATGGCAGTTAAAGCAGTGCCAAACTGGATTATTTGTGCAGTGCAGCTGCAGCCTAAGTTTGACACTAATAATAATAATAATAATAAATTTTATTTCTTTCCCATTTCTTCTCAAGGTTTGATACAGCATGTTAAAATAACAATTAAAAACACATAAAAAGCACAATTCAAAGATGAAACTGTAAGAGCATTAAAATACACTCATAAGAATGTATATTGAAGTGCC